CGGATAATATAGCCTTGCGAAGTTTGCCGTTTTTCAGTCATTTTGTATTACCCACGGGAAATTGACAGCCCAATCGGGTGTTGGGGCATCAATTTCCCTCTCGTAATATACAAAATGACTGAAAATTGCAAATTTCGCAAGGCTATATTATCCGCATTTTACAACATTTCGCAACGAAACTTTGGATTATTACTAATTTTGTGACGCTCTTTCAAGCTGTGATGAAATTTTTGTCTAGATCAAAATTTAATCTATAATGCATGCAAATGGTCCATTACGCACTAGTAAAACTCACCCTCAAGGCTAGTTCCTCCCGTACCATTACCCAACTATACAATAGTTTTATATGGCTAACCTGCTTTACCCTTAAATAATATGATAAAAAAGAGCGCATTATATAACAGTACTGTATACCAAAATTATACCCAGTGCTTTATATTATACAGTAAAAAATGCGTAAACAGATTACATAAAAAAAGTTGTTTAAAATGTAGGCAAATTATGTGCAAAAGCAGAATGAAATATTTGATAACTGAGAAATGTTAAGGCCTTAGAATTACTTAAATAGTTTACCTTCGACAAACATCTGCATGGTTGCCATATGAAAAATATGGCCGCAATTGGCGACCTGGCGCCCGTTAATTTCAGTCATTTCAACCCCTGATCGTCGTTACAGATCAACCCAATATCTCACTAACTACTTAGGTCTACTTACCGCCATTATATCCAGGTTTTGCTTTGGTATTTGTCAGTTGAGGGATCGTCGTTGGTACAACCGGACAAGAATGAGATGTTTTGCCTGAACAACTCTGAAGTAACTTCTTCTCATCTTTACTCGCAGGAACTAACAATATCAAAGAATAACCGAGACAGATCAGGACAGGGTTTTAAAATTTATTAGAGTTTTATACTAGAATATATATATATTCAAATTGACTCAGTTCACAACTAGTTGCAATTCCGGAGACGGATGTTCAAAGCTAGATTTGTGCTAACCCTATGTTAAACATGGATACATCTGCAAATCCGTTTATTTCAAAACTTTAGAAAATATTACTTTTATTGATCCAGACAAGATTTCTAAAAACATGCCCGGATTTGCCTGAATGCACACGAGACAATGTCAATGGTACAATGGCTGAAGTCTGACAATGACTTAATTATTTATACCTTATAAATATAGAATCACATTGTCAGCCTCAAGATGGGCTTGACACAACTAGCGAGCCAAAATACCTGAATTAAAACTAATCTCAGAGATTAGCAACCACTGTCCACCAAAATATAGCCGCAACTTCATAAACCTTGCTGTATTTTCACAAAGTGACAAAGTTACATTTGCATTGTATGAATCATCTTTGGCTTGAAAATCTCTTGGACAGTACTGAAGAAATGATGTGTCTGAGAAACCATCTTTGGTTGAAGAGAAGAACATCTGTGATCTATTAAATACAGCATTACCGCGTTTCTTGTCAACGTTCACAGTTAGTGTAACATTTGTGAACCTTCGCACACCAGAAAACTCAAATGTGATGTCAATGTATTGTGATTGAGTAAAAGTAGCATTCCATCCCACCCATCCTTTGCCTTTAAATTCTTTTGAGTTAGCAGGACCAAACTTGCCATCTGTAAGTATTCCAGTACCATCTTTGTAAAAGCCATTGGTAATTACTCCATTATAAGATGTGTCATTGTAGTCCACTTTACCATTTTTGGCTATTTGCCCAACTGGCATTGAGTAGGAGAGAATAACTAAAATAGTAAAATATTACATTATAATATACCAGTACTGTACAGCAAAATTATACCCAGTACTTTATATTATATAGTAAAACATGCATAAATAAAAGAAAAACTAAATAAGAGTGTTGACTGATCCACGCGACCTCAGAGATACAAGGCGCTTGATCTGATGTTTGCGCGTCGCCGAAACCCTCGAGCTTTCCTGCAATACCTGAGTTGCTGACATGGATCACACTGGTTAAACCGAGAAGACAAATAAACATACAACGTTCAGAAATCTTGCTCGTTGCCATCTAGAATTTGAACAAAAGAATATAATTATGCTTTAAAATGGATCCCAAACTTTCACTTATAACTAACAACATACAAAGCTTTTTTGATCTATCAGTCCAGATCTTCATTAGCGCAATACAAACCTGCCGAGGTCCTATGGTCAATATGGCGTAACCAATTATATATCTGTTTCTCTATCACGTAATGTGGTCGCCTTACAGTTATCAAAGTGAGAAAATAATGTTAATTTTTTTCTGTCGTAGAAGGTAGATCTTTCTTATAACGACGTCGATAGCGTTAAGATAATTCATGCGATGTCCCACATGACAATTTTTAGCGACAATTTAGCGACGATTCGCAAGGGAAGTCGTTGGCGAGCCAATAGATTCCATAAAAAACATCATTTGCATTGCGAATTGTCGCTAAACCGTCCCTTAGTACATGACATTGAGTGTTTTCTAATGGGTTTTCCGCGTCAGACATCATTTTAAGAAAGGTTTGTTTAGCTTTGTCCGCCTACCACTTCCGCCTTTGTTAACACCCAAACTTTGCCAATACTCAATATTTTGTAAAATGTTTGGGTTTTATTTTGTTCGTTTTCTTACAACTTGAATGAAAGCTGGAATGGTTAGACAAAAAACTAAGGCTATGCCAAGACACAAAGTGTATGTTTTCAATTGCCGCAGACACTGAGGAAACTTATCACGCAAATGAAATCCACTTCCGAGATTTCGTAGTTTCAAGAACAAACGTCAACTCTCCATGTGCCGAACCTAGCAGAAACAATGAGTTTATGGTGAATAGGGTCATTTTAATACGGAAGGTTTGCCAAATGATACATGCGACGTCTGAGTCTTAGGTCCGTGTTGATCTGGCCGGATTTATTTTCCATTTTTGCCGGGGTTTGTTTTAGGGAAGCGTGGCATTAATTAATTTTCAAGTCACGGTCATTACAGTAGCTAGTCCATTACCAAAGTTAGTTATAATGGAACTTTCTCAAAGACCTTCCATATGAAATCGTAGAAACACTCTTTGTTGTTGTACAGCTGTAGAGTGTTTTATTAATATGGATATAGCTATTTCAATTAAGGTTGTCACAAGCAATAGCCAAATGTACAATCCAAGCGCCAAAGGTATAATGGAAATAAGATATTTTATATAGGGTGAAACGGAAACTATTATAAATCATGTATACCCCAAGGAGGTACCAAAACAAAAAGGAGCTACGCGCCTACGCCCATGGTCATAGGCTACCTAAATAGCTAAAATATTAAAATTTGGTATACCCATCCTCCTATTCGCGCTCACAATTGACTATGTTGAAATAGCTGTATAATTACATGATTTTTCATCAACATGAGAAAAATACTGTTACAGTAAGAGGGCCCTGAAGGGGTAAAATGGGAACTGGGATTGATCTATTTTTAGACTGGGAAAATGGGATTTGGGTTGCTGGGACTGGGATTTGGCCACTGCGAATGGGAAATGAAGTCCTCAAAAATGGGAATGGGATTGAGGTAATGCGAGTCGATTCCTAATTTTTCTACGTTTTAAGTATTTTAAAAAACAATTTTGATCCGTTTTTGGTGTCTTTGGTCATGATTTTTGTTGTTAACTATATTATTCACAGCACTACCTGAGAACAGGCATACTCTGGCGCCCGAAATTCTGGGTTTTCTGATTATGCATGTCTCAGAATGCTGCAAATGCCATTTCCGGGATTCAAATTTAAAAATTTTCCGTGCCTTTGGCACGAACCTCCCCCAATATTTCATAAAGTGTTCGCCACTTGCACACACGGTGGCTTAAAAGTCTTAAAACTGTTTATTGTACCGATAAATAAAGGGTTTTTTATTTACTGGGATTTCAATAACTCGGACTGGGATTTCTAATAAAAATCCAACTGGGACTGGGATTTTGTCAAAATTTCAGGTGGGAAATGGGATTGGGACCCCGCCTTCAGGACCCTCCAGTAATACAGAACAATTAAATTACAGAAAATGTCAACAGACTACAAAAGCGGTTGTGTTCTTGTTTTTTGATTGTAATTCGTTTCATTATATATAGTAGTAGTCTTATACTTGATAACAAATAGAATTGAGAAATATAATTTAATTTTCTTGCGCCTGTATATCTTTGTCAACATTCCTGAAGTTAATCACCACCTAATAACTACTAACAGTTATAAACTAAATACTAACTTCCGTCCTCTCACCATAGAAATACTACTTCCGTCTTTGTTTAGAACCAAAATGTATTTCTTGCATACGTTCAAAGCAAACGTTTTTAACTGCTATGGCTACAGACAGAGCTTGTCACTTCAACAAGGAAGCAGAAGTCTTGTCATGTGAATGAAGACGGGTCACGTAACATGACAAG